TACTCTCACCTCTCCTAAATTCCCTTGATCCACTAATTATTTAGGAGTTGTCTTGTCTGCTTTTCTATTGCTGAGATAAAACACCCTGCTCAAGTCAATTTAAAAAAGACAGTGTTAAATTGGCTTTCGGTTTCATGGGGTTAGAGTATGTACACATGTCTCCATGTGTTGGTTTCTTTTCTTGTGAGTGAAGCTTCCTGGATTCAGTCAAAGAGATTTAATTCTGATTACTTCCCAGAGACCTCAGCTCTGACACCATTGCCAGAGTAAGGTTTCTCCATAATCCCTCACAGTGGGGCTTTGATTTCAAGATAGGAAGCCTTGGAGTATACTGGCACTTTGTCTAAACCATAGTAGTGAGGGTCATTTTGGGGGTTAGCTAAGGTGGTCTAGAGAGTGTACATTCTGTAGGCTCCTGAGAATTTGCATTCTGCTGTCATGGGTAGGATGGCATATTGATGTTTGTTAGAGCTACTTGGTTACAGCGTTGTTCAGATCTCCTATTTCCTGCTTACATAGGATGAATTAAATATTCTCAAATTACATTTATTTATTTTTCTGGAAACACAGTGCAAGAGAACCTGCAAGGGAATGTAGTGTGCAAGTACTCACACACCTTGGTTTGTGTTTGGAGGTCAGATAGCTTGTGGGAATGGGTCCCTCTTTTCACCATGTGGGACTTGGCAAGTGCCTTTATACACTGAGCCATCTTACTGGCCTTGGCACTTGATATATATACATATATATATATTTTTTTTTTCTTAAAAATAGCTGTTGCTGGAAACCCTTTATTCTGAAATTGACATTGTATAAATAGGAATTAACAAATTTACTGAATGTTTATTATGTATCAGAATTATGTTAGGTTTTTCAGTGGACAAAAATTAGGAAAAACATCCTATGGAGTTTGCATCCTAATGGGCACAGAGATAATAAACAGGCAACTTAAAATGGTCTACCAGTGGGTACTATGGGGAAAATACTAGTGAAATACTAGAAATGCTGTTTTCACTAGAAAAATACTCGTGAAAGAAAAAAGGATGGAATATGGAGGAGCTGTAGTGGCTCTTACGATCTCTTTTCGTTTTGCTTTTTTTTTTTTTTTTTCTGAGACAGGGTCTCTGTGTAACCCTGACTGACTTAGAACTAACTCAACTTTGTAGATCAGGCTGGCCTTGAACTCACAGAGATCCATCTGCCTCTGCCTTTCAAGTGCTGGGACCAAGGGCATGCATACGCCACTACACCCAGTGGCCCATGCCATCTTAAACAGATAATTAAGAAAGGATTTCCTGCTGGCTGACAATGCTTTGAAGGAGGTGGAGGTCTGCAATCCACCAGGACTCAGGGCCCAGCAGGTACAAGGCTGTAAGGTAGTTTGTTAAGGGTCTATAAGACTTGGTAAATGCATGTCATAGAATGACTCAATAAAATTGCTGTGTACATAAAAACAAAATTGCTTTGTGCTTTTGAGAATGTTAGGTACTTAAAAATTTTTTTGCAAAATGGTTGAATTATTTCCCCTTTCTTCTAGTTTACATTTTTAAACACTTGGTCTCTGTTTGTAATATTTAGCACTACAGATGAAATTTGTTCAGGGGTTTTGTTCTGTCTTCCTTTCTAGGAGGTGAGCTTGGTGAAGGCAGGGTTTTTCCGCCCCGTGTTAGCCGTGCCTCTTCTAGGCAGCACCTACTGCTTGTTTAGTGATGGACAGACCCCTAGATAGTGCTTAGCAGTTCTTCCGCGCTTAGTGCTATACTCTTGTACGAAAGGGTTTCTTGTGGCTTTTAAACTCCCTATTTGCATATATGTTTTTTTTTAAGGAGAAAAAGTGAACGATTGTCATTATGCTTATACCCTGATGATCAAACCATTAGACGTGGCCTGTATAGTGCATTATACTTTTAGATTCAGTTAACTTTGCATTTTGAGTGTTCTGATTTTTCTGAATTCTGATCTGTATTAAATGATCTCTTCATCTCATTCTAATGGAATTCTGTCTGATTTTCCAGGTTGTGTGATAGCGGAGCTTTTCACGGAAGGTGTACCATTGTTTGACCTCTCTCAACTGTTGGCATATAGAAATGGACATTTTTTCCCTGAGCAAGTGCTAAATAAGATTGAAGATCGCAGTATCAGAGAATTGGTAACTATGTTACAAATATCTGCCATACAGTTTTAATGGGAATATGTCCTAGGTGGCCTGCAACTCGCTGTGTTAGCTCACTCAGGGCAGGCCTCCTGCCGTAGCCTCCAGAGTGCTGGGATGACAGCCATGAGCCACACACCCAGTCCCTCCTCCACAACAAATTTGGAACAAAACCTAGTACTGATTAAACATGCCTTTGATACCTTATTTAGAAAGAAATGTACTGTTTTCCCCCCTTGGGCTAAAAGCACATTTGACATTTCAAAAAAGAAAAGGAAAAAAAGACAGAAATGTGAATCCATTATCTGTTGTTCCATGATAATCTTGCCTGCTTTGGGCAGATTTGGAGGTGGGCAGGGCCTTCTGAGATAGAGCTTGCTGGTGAGGAATGAAGAAGACAAATGTCCACAGTGCAGAGTGGGCATCAGCCTGGGCAGAGCACAGTAGCGGGCCTCTTCCCGTGGAGGCAGATGTGGGCCGCCCTGGAAGGGGAGCTTGGGAGCTACAGTCACTTGGTTATGGTAGCACAGGCCGAGGAATTGTGTGCGCGGCCATCTGGTCGGATGTCTGGATCACTGTTTGAGGCTCTTGTAAAGTAACTGACACTGTGATAGTGAGTCTGGTCGTGTAAAGGCTACGGTAACGTCAGAATACCCTGCAGAATTCTAAGTGGGGAAACATGCAGTCTGGTGGCACCCGCCTGCAGTCCCAGCTACTTAGGAGGCTGTGGAAAGGGAACTGTCTGAGGGTACAGACTGTGTTTAAGGCCAGTTTAGTGAATTCAGCAGATCCCTACCTGAAAGTCAATAAAGCTCAGGAGGTGCTGGGCTGTAGCTCAGGGGTCAGCACTGGCCTGGAATGTGTTTGCTGGAGGAGGCTGAAGAGGGGGTGGTGGTAAGGCAGCCTGGACTTCAGGAAAACTGTCTCAAGAGCAAAGTAAAAAGGGAAATACTGGAAACAAGATGCTCGAGAGGACGCCAGCATAGCTCGTGGTAAGAAGCACACCTCCTGCTCCCCCTTGTAGCTGCCACTTGCCTGGTCATTTAACTGAGAAGCTTCATGTCTTTGGAAAATCAATTTGTTTATTAATCTTCAAGGCATTAATGCAAATGTAAAAGTAATTCTTAGATCATTTCCCACATCGTATACTTGATCCCCCTAAGTTCAGTACTGGTTTCTAGATTAGAATCCAAAAAGAAAGCCAAAATTGCAGATAACATTTTTATGATATTTTATGTATTTGACTAGTAGAACATTGAACCGTTTTTTTTTTTTTATATATTTAATTAATCTATGTTCTTATATCAGGTATATTATTATTTCTAGTGTTCACATTTTCTCACATTTTTAAGTATTTTTTTTTTTCAGAGTGTGTGTTCGTGCCTGTGCATATGAGTGCAGAGTTCAGAGATGTTAAATCCCCTGGATCTGGAGTTATGAATGGTTGTGAGCCGCTTGATGTGGGTGCTGGGAGTTGAGCAAGTGCTCTTAGATGCTGAGCCATCTCCCACCCTAGTGTTTTATATCTTTGAAGTGCTGGGACTAACACAGGACCTCACACAGCGACGATGGTGCTCTCTCCTTGAGCTACATTACCAGCCCTTTGATTCTCCTCTGGACCAAACTGCACTTAAACCACGTGCTAATCTTTTGGATTTGTGGTAGTATAGTTTAAAGCAGAACTCTTAATTGCGGCTCTGAAATGATCTCAGGTGTCCTATAATTTCTTGCAGATTCATGTTGTTTTGTGTGTGCAACTGTGCCTGTTTGTTTTTCTCTGAAGGTTTGTTGCTTTTTTAATCACAAATATCAAACAGGGTGTGACCTCTTACATACCAGACTGTCTGTGCACATTAGTATGTAACGTCCTGTTGCCTTCTGGGATGATGAGAGACACAATTAGTTTGTGGTTCTAAAGAGAAAGGATAGCTGGAGATGGTGGTACATGCCTTTGATCCCAGGACTCAGGAGAGGCCGAGGTAGTGGATCTCTGTGTGGTCCTGATCAACCTGGTCTCCATAGTGAGTTCCAGGCCAGCCAGAGCTACATGTTCATATACTGTTTAGAAAGAAAAAAAAAAGAATGGTTGAACAAAGAGAATAATTAGAATTACTTTAGGAATCCTTTAAATCACATGTAATTGCTCTTTTAATTGTGTGTGTGTGTGTATGTGTATGTGTGTGTGTATAGGATCTGCTGTAGTCCAAGCTGGCCTTGAACTTGTTACCATAGTTCAGGAGGCCTGTCTTGAACTCATCATATATCCCAGGATGGTGGCTTTGCCCAAGCCTCGGGAGTGCTGGTGTTACAGGTGTGAGCCACCCCATCTCGCTTTCATTTCATGCTCTAAAATGCACCCTTTTCTCTTTCTCTTTCACACAGGTAACTCAGATGATCCATCGTGAACCAGAAAAGCGTTTGGAGGCTGAGGATTACTTGAAGCAGCAGCGTGGCAATGCTTTCCCTGAGATATTTTACACTTTCCTTCAGCCTTACATGGCTCAGTTTGCCAAGGAAACTTTCCTCTCTGCAGATGAGCGGATTTTGGTTATACGGAAGGATTTGGGCAACATTATTCACAATCTTTGTGGACACGATTTGCCAGAAAAAGCAGAAGGGGAACCGAAGGAAAGTGGACTGGTTGTCCTGGTGTCTGTCATCACATCCTGCCTGCAGACGCTGAAGTCCTGTGACTCCAAACTGGCTGCCTTGGAGCTCATTCTCCATTTGGCCCCGAAGCTGAGCGTAGAGATCCTTCTGGACCGCATTACTCCGTACTTGTTGCATTTCAGCAATGACTCTGTTCCCAGAGTGAGGGCAGAGGCCCTGAGGACGCTCACCAAAGTTCTCGCCCTTGTCAAAGAGGTTCCTCGTAATGATGTCAATATCTATCCAGAGTACATTCTCCCAGGCATAGCTCACCTGGCCCAAGACGATGCCACTATCGTCAGACTGGCCTATGCTGGTAAGAGTTCATTGTCCTAATTACAGCCTTGCACATGTTTTTCAAGTACTGACTGTCATACCTCTTGATTTTTTGCTCTCTTTGGGAATTCCTTGTGTGAATTTTGGTCTTAAATTATGAATATGTATATCCATGTACATATTAATATTTATAGCTGATCTGTTCCTTGGGTATATTTTTGCATTTAAAATGATTAGAATTATCAAATGAAGAAGTGTACCATGTGGACTCTCACAGTTTGACCTGGAATAGTACATTTAGCTGGAGGAAGGCTCATGTTTACAAGTACCTGCTTCTGATTTAGAGTTGCAGCCTTTTCAAGGTTTCCCTGATCACACACTCTTATTTCAGGGCAGAACATTCTGTGGCTGTTGAGAAAGACCGTGATGTTGAAGGAAGGTTCTGAGTTAAGTCCCCGTTCCCCTTCCTTTAGCGCTCAGAGTGTGTGACATCTTGATGAGATGGGTCTGCCATGCACACCTACTTGCTCTGCTTAGAATGCTCCCGCACAAAGCCTAACAGTAGAGACTCACGTTTTTAGCTCTTCGGACTAATTCTGAATGCTTACTTCACCATGGGGAATATCACTGAGACATTTACATAATCCATAATTTATATCTATGATCTAATGGAAAATGGACCTTCTGTTTTGAAATCTTGGTGCATAATGTATAACACATGTGGCGATGATATTGCCATGTTTTTGAAAGCTGTGTGCTTATTATTTTGTTTATTTTTTAGAATACGTGAAAACTGGTCTTTGGGCACTTGTTTTATATCTAGGCCCAACCCCAGAGGATTGGCGGTTGTTGGGTGGTTTCAATGCATGCATTGTTCCTGATCTTTCCCGTTTGTGTTCTTGTTTGTGTATTGTGGAGGCATAATGTGAGGCCTAAAAATTCAGGGGCTCTTAAGACACATCTGAACATCTGATTTTATTATTTTGTGACAGCCTGTTTCTAATTCATTTGGGAATCAGGTAAATCCACTAACATACAAAAAACAAAGGTTTTGTTTTTTTTTTATAAAAAAGCAATGTATTCATTCTTATCTCAAGTTTATGACCCTGTTTTTGGCTTAGTGTGTCTTACCTGTTCTCAGTTGTCATATAGGTAAAGTTCTGATGTGTAGGAACCATGTTAACATTAACCTCCAGTTTCTCATAGGCCTAGCATGAAAGCAATAGGTGCTGTATATTCAAAACCCTGCTTGATGTCAGGATATTGATTGCTCAAGGTTGCTGCAAGAGTTGCTTATGAGATTTTGCGTTAGCTCTTGCAGCAGCTTTATGTAAGGTGTATTACCTTCGTTTAAAGGTTAAGAAGACTGAGTGATAGGCCTGTGATCCACCTGTTTCTGGTCTAATGTCTAGTTCCTGGAGCTGCAGGACTAGAACTTGGCCTTCAGACAGTCGTGCTTTTCTTTGGTTTCTCTGAGAGTCCGTCATAACTCAGAGTCAGAGACAGCACCTTTCAGTGAGAAAGAAATCCGCCTGAGTAGAAGCAGGAACGTTTTTTGAACTTGGTGGTTAAATATAGTTAAATTATACACAGCAGTAAGTATAGAAGTTTAAGCTCCACCTTGTTTTTCTTTGCAGTATTCCTTTTCATCTCAAAAGATGCTGGCATAGACTTGTATTTTATATAAAGTGAACTTAAAAGTGTGATTTACATGGAGAATTAAACTACCCAGACTTGAAAAAGCCCAGGAAAGAGTCTTTCCCATGTCTGTGAGTTATGTATCTGTGGACTCAGCACCTGACGATTGAAAGTGTTTGAGAGAAGTCTTTATTAAAAATGTATGGGCTCTTTTGGTTATTCTCTAAACAATACAGTACAGCAACTATTTACATAGCATTGCATTAGGTGCTGTAAGGAGTTGGAAACGGAGTCTAGAGATGATTTGAAGTAAGTGGGAAGATGTGTTTAAAGTATGTAAGTGTGATGGCACTTTCTGCAAGGGACATGAGTTTCTGCAGAATAGGCCTAGAGCTTCCCCTGGCCGTGGATACCGAGGACAGTGCACAGGTAGGTACTCAGGAAGTGGATATGTTTATTTAGAGTTTGGCTTATTGTCAGATTTGCCCTAGAAATCTCCCATCTCTTGTTTGTTTGGTGTTGGGGATCAAACCCAAGGCCTTTGTGCTACCTGGTACACAAGTATTCTGCTGAGCTACACCTCGGCCTTAGTTTCTCCTTTTAGGGTATTGTGGGATAGCATCATGTTTACATAGTGTTTCTTTGTCTCTCTGTCTCTCTCTCTGTCTCTCTCTCTGTCTCTCTCTGTCTCTCTCTCTCTCTCTCTCTCTCTCTCTGTTTGGGGGTATGCATCTATGTACATGTAAGGGTAGGCGTGGATGTTGGGTATCTTTTTATCTCTCTACCTTAATTTTTGAGACAGTGTCTCACAGTTAACCTGGAACTTACCAGTTTGGCTCAGCTAGCTGGCCAGCAAGCCCTAGATCCTCCTGTCTCTCATCCGCCCAGCACTGGGATTAGAGGCCTGTGCTGCCACATCCACCTTTTCACATGGATGATGGGATCTGAGCACAGGTCATCATGCTTACATGGTGAGCACCATGGACTGAGCCATATTCCAAGCCCAAGTTTTTGTTTTATTTTGAGCAATGTTGAACCTGGCCATGGTGGGGATCTAAGATGGAGAGAAGTGCTGTACTGAATAGACTATAGTAGAGTGGCTTTGACTTTGTAGACATTACAAAGTAAGGACATGTGTAAGGCTGTGGATTTGATGTCCAGCACTTACTTTCAGTTTCAGGTGGTCATTGTATGGTGAGTGTTATTCATTGCTAAGAAAGAGTTTTGTAGCATGAATCTTAAAAGTTCTTATTAATGAAATCAAACTCGAGGCTAGTTATTGTGGTCAATTGTGGTAGATCAGAGATACAGAACAAGCCACAGCTACCTCACCTCGCCAGATCCTCAGCTGGTCTTGTTTCCTCAGACTGGAGGCTTCTGTGTCCTCATCCCAATGGCTCTCAGCTGAATTGTGCTGCTAGAAGCCTGAAAGCTTAACCAGCCAAATGCTTAACCAGTCAAATGCCTCTAGTTTCTGGTCCTCATGTCTTATATACCTTTCTGCTTTCTACCACACTCCCTGGGATTAAAGGCTTGCTTTCTGGGATTAAAAGCGTGAGTCACCATGCCTGGCTGTATCCTTGAACTCATGGATTTCTGCCTCTGGAATGCTAGGATTAAAGGCGTGTGCTACCACTGCCTATTCTCTATGTTTAATATTGTGGCTGTTCTGTCTCTGACCCCAGGTAAGTTTATTAGGGTGCACAATATTTTGGGGAACACAATGCCACCACAGAGTTTAGTCTTTCCTACTTAGAGTCATAGGTGAGGCACAGAGCAGAGGGCGAGGGAGGATGCAGAAAGGGATAACTGGAAACAGGAGAATGGTGAGGAGCAGATGTAAGCGGCAGTAGGTGTGATAGTAGACATGAGGACGGGTACACGGAGTGGTGAAGAGTATCAGTCTCAGGTCGTCAGAGTAAAGACGGTCAGGACAGAAGTGTGGCCAGCAGGCTCACCCTTGTCCCCTGAGAATACCACTTGAACAGCTGTCTGACAATGGCTGATTAAGTTTAGTGATGACTTTTTAAGGTAGTCGTGACTCCTCACCTGAACAAACCGAGACTCAGGCTGTTGAAACAATAAGCTGGTAAGTGGCAGGCTTGAGGGATGAGCCCTGGTCTGTCTGATCCCAAGGCCCCATATGATGTTCCTTTGGTGCTGATGTTTCTGTTTTAGTCTAATAACTAACTTGTCAGGACACCTTGAAAGGCTAGCTCTGTGGTAGGATTGAGCTTTTTCTCTTTATCTCTCATTAGAACCGAATACTCTATTTTAGACAGTTTCTGCAAATACAGAATTTTTTGATTTTTGTTTAGAGATTATCATAGATTATGAGATAGATCAATTACAGAGACTGATTAAGGGCTAACTTGCAAAATCCTGCTTTTCCTCCAGATTTTTTGAGTAATATTTAGCTGTATAAGGACTTGGGGATTCTGGGCCTAACGTGACCTGTAGTCATCAACTCTCCGGAGGCAGAAGCAGGAGGAGCTCCAGTTTAAGGCCATCTGGGGTGCATAGGACCCTGTGTCAAAAAAGTTAAAGGACTTTGGGAGGAAAAGTTGTGAGGAGCTTGAAGATGGAGATCGTGACTGTAACTGTTCTGCTGGTATTTTACAGAAAACATCGCCCTATTGGCTGAAACAGCTCTGCGCTTCCTGGAGCTAGTGCAGCTAAAAACTCTCAACATGGAGAACGACCCGGATAGTGAAGAGGTAGACGAAGCCACTCATCCAAACGGAGACTACGACACAGGTTGTGTTATTTCTCCTCTTAGAATTCCCAAGTCGCTAATGGTAACATGTAAAAGCTGGTGCTCGTTCATCTCTTGTGACGTGGAGGAGCAGCGAGTGTTAGGAGGACGGCCCCGGCATGCTGTCCTTTCTGTCCTCACACACTGTCCACTGGACACGATCCACTTGTGCTTGGAGATGCCACACTTGCTTCAGCCAGAGTCGTGTGAGCAATAAAGCCAGCCGAATTGTGTGATTCTTATTTAAAAAATGGAAGCATCATCACCAAAGAACCTAGACCCTTTCTTCTTGCATGAATAGTGTTGAGTATCCTTAGTTATGAGCTGTTTTCACTTAGTAATTGATATCTCTGGTTTATATATCAAAGTTCCCTCTTTACTATAAAGAAACACATGATGATAAACTCCCTGAGTCCAGTGGTTTAGGTTTCTTTGAATCTAAAAAAACTTTTAACAGGTTTTGGTTTTTAGCCAAAGATTCAGAAGTAGAATTAAATCTGCTTTGTGCTGGTTTAAGTTGAGAATGATTAGAGAAATAGAGTTTATACATTCATATGCTGTGGTGTGTCATAAAGAAAATGGAGCATTTTCAGACAATGAATTTAGGTATCACAGCTTTGGAGGAGCTGACATTTCCTTTGCTGTGAGCATGTAGTTTCCCCACCAGACATCAGCTTTTCCTGGGCAGCACTGGGCAGGGCCGCACTGCTTTTCTCCCTTCTGATCAGCTGAGGTGGCTAAGCATGTGCTCTGCAGCTAGGGAACAGTAGGAAATGGCAAGGACTGTGACCAGTGCTCTCAGATGGGGACTTTAGCAAGGGACAGGCAGACACCTAGGTGGACAGATGAGGATGAGTAGGAGGTATGGTCAGAGAGGAAGGCTGCTCAGACCATATAAAGGACTTATGATAGACATAAAATACATATGTACATATGTATATGCATATATACAAAATACATAAATACATAAAATACATATATGAAATCAACTTACTTTAAAATGTTTTCTGAAAGTTTCATGCTGGACCAGTCTGGTACTTTGATGACCTTGCATGAGGTAATCTTTGGGGGAGGTAATGAGCTCTCCTTCCTGGCGCTTCCTCCTCCATTTCTTCTTGAGCTCATAAACCAAGAGACATTTTGTGTGGTCGTAACTGTTCTCACAGCATCCCACCTGCTGACCTTTGAACAGTGGGAAAGCTTAGCAAATACAGGATTTGTGTGGAAGCTTCTGCCATCGTTCCATTACTCCACTAAGAAAGAAAGAAGACAGGTCTGGATGTGAGTGGGCCATACCTGTAATTTCATCACTCTGGAGGCCACATTGGAAAATTGAGACCCTGGCTCAACCAAAATGACAAAATACAAATGCTTGGTCTACATGTGTGGGAGAAAATTGATCCTTGTTTTTGTTTTTTAGAGCTCCAAGCCTTACATGAAATGGTTCAGCAGAAAGTTGTCACTTTGTTAAGCGACCCTGAAAATATTGTGAAACAAACTTTAATGGAGAATGGAATCACACGTTTGTGTGTCTTCTTCGGACGTCAGAAAGCCAATGATGTTTTGCTGTCCCACATGATCACCTTCTTAAATGATAAGAATGATTGGCACCTGCGTGGAGCTTTCTTTGACAGTATAGTTGGTATGGTTTTTTTTTAATTCATCTTTAAAATTATAAATTCCCTCTCAGATCCTTCCATTGGTTTGAAAGATAGGTGATGTAGATGTAACCAACCGTCTTATTAAATAAGAAACACAGAACCAATGTAAAAGAGAAAGCCAAGAGGTCAGAGCTCAGAGCTAAAATCTTACCCTTCCTCCTGTGGTGCTCCCCGAAAGAGACCTACTTCCTGTGTGTATGTCTATAAAAAGTCTTTCTGTTCTGCCTTCTCATTGGTTGTAAACCCAAACACATGACTGCCTCGTCACTGCCTGTAAGTACAGCCCTCCAGGTCTTAAAAGCATATGTCTCCAATGCTGGCTGTATCCCTGAACACACAGAGATCTATGGGATTAAAGGTGTGCACCACTACCGCCACACTCTTTCTATGACTCTAATAGCTCTGACCCCCAGGCAACTTTATTTATTAACATACAATTAAAATCACATTTCAGTACAAATAGAATGATATTATCAAGTTTTGTACCATGGTGTGCATGTGGAGATCAAGGGGTAACTTTTGGGAGTTGGTCTTCTCTTTCCACTAGGTGGGACTTGGGGGTTGAACTGAGGTCTTCAGGCCTGATATTAGGTACTGTAGATAACAGTACTTCCTAATTTGTTTTACATTTTAAAAATCTAAGTATTTCCTAACATTTCTAATTGATCTTTGAAACTATACTCTAATAGATTCCTATTATTTTTATTCCATTAGATAATTTTATCAAAATTCATTTGAACTTTTAATGAAATATTTTGAATATTTAGTTGTTTTATTTGTTTTTGTTTTTTTGTATTTTGAGAAGGTCTTACTATGTAGCCCAGGCTGGCCTGGAAGTCTAAGCGCTTTGCTTCAGCCTTCCAAGTGCTGAGATCACCCATTAGTTTTAATTTTGAATTGTATTATTCAGGGAATCTTACATATTTATGTGAGGAATTAGCATGGTTAGGTATTTGAGTATGATCACGTGCTGCCTCATGGGCTTTGTTCTGAGACAGGATGCTAGCCATTGTCACTGTTACTCAGGTGAGTAAGCTTTATACCAGGCATATAGTGTAGCTTATTGTCTACTACATTGCTAGTACATGACTTATTTCTTATTAGTCTCTGTAGCTAGAAGTATACATTTTTTAAAAAAATATATTTATTTTATGTGCATTGGTGTTTTGCCTGCATGAATGAATGTTTGTATGAGGGTATCAGATCCCCTGAAACTGGAGCCACAGACAGTTGAGTTACCATGTGGGTGCTGGGAATTGAACCCGGGTCCTCTGGAAGAGCAGTCAATGCTCTTAACCACTGAGCCATCTCCCCAGTCACAGAAGTATAAATTTTTCATAGAAAGTTTGAGTTCCACTTGGGTACACAGAGAGACTTTTACACAGAGAGCTTGCTGTTGCCGTGATGGAGACCATGACCCAAAGCAACTTGAGGAGAGGGTTAATTTCATCTTCCAGCCGACCATCCATCACTGAGGGAGTCAGGGTGGGAACTCAAAGCAGGAAACTCGAGGTGGGAACTGAAGTGGAGGCCAGGGAGGAATGCCGCTTACTGAACCTTCTGCCCAGGGCTGGCACTGCCCACAGTGGGCCAGGCATCCCCACGGCAATCATTAATCCAGAGAGTGACCCACACATTGTATAGGCTAAGCTGAAGGAGGCAGTTCATCACTGAGGTCCTAGTTCCCAGATGATCCTACCCTTTGTCAAGTTGAAAAAGAACTAAGGGGCATGGTCCTGCTGCACATACGCATGCATGCATACATACATACATACATGCATGCATGCATGCATACATACATTTCAGCTTATTTCAATGACTGAGTTAAAGAATATGAACATAGCTTTCATAGGAAACACTCTAGTTGCCACCCAGTCAATAGAATATTCTTTCTATAAACAAAGAATATGAACATATTTCTATTTTATTGGCATATTTATGTTAATTTTACTCCATCAACTTTAGGTGCTACACACCCAACACACTCCTAGCCTTTACTTTTTGCTTGTTAAAAGGGTAAAGTAACAGATTTTCCTGTGTGTTTTTTGTTTATTAGTCAAGCTGCAAAACTTTTTTCTGATGTTTCTGTGTTTGTATTTTACATTATCTTTTACTATTTTGGTTCTTTTTCTTGCACGAAGTTAAATTTATGCTTGTGGGTTTTTGGAGCTTATAGAGTATTAACTCATTTTTAATGCAAGTCTTCTTCTCTGTTTTAATTTAATTTTTTAAGTGTATTTTAAAAATAATTGATAAGTTCTGGCTTTTAAAGCAAGGTCTCACTGTGTAGTTCAGATTGGCCTCAACGCACTATTCTGCAGCCCAACACAGAATCTGGGGTGATGATCATGTGTGTGTCAACCACCACACATGGCTCAGGATGATGATGATCATGTGTGTCACCACACATGGCTCCTTAGCGCGCGTGCGTGTTCGTGGAGGCTACAGATCAGTGTCCGGTGTCTCCCGTGGTCGCTTTCCACCTCACTGCTTTGAGACGAGTTCTCTCTGAAGCTGGGTCCCGTCCAGCCCTCTAGGCGTCCAGCCAGTGAGCTCTATGCATTCCCCTGCCTCCTCTTCCAGTGCCAGGGTGATAGCCTGGAGATTCAAACCTGGGTCCCCATGCTTCCGCAACAGGCACTTGACCAACTGAGCTACCTCTCTAGCCCCAGATGTCCCTGAAATAATTTATGTCTAACTGGGCTGGAGGATTTTGTCCCTGGCTTTCCTCCTTGAATCCCTGGGGCTACCTCTGTGGTTTTGTGGATTCTCCACCTCCTGTTTATTTTACTAGAGTTTTGTTTTCAGGAAACTTCTGAGACAGGGCTGTCTAGGAGGTAAACCTCTATAGTCCTTGCATGTCTTCAACTGACTAGTTTTTGCTTTCTTATTAAGGAAGCGCGGTTCTGGTGAGTGGCTCGCTGTGTCCTTTGTCACATGTGACTTAGTGGTGACGCACATTTTCAGGTGCGGAGCTGCAGTAACACTGCCTTCCCTTTCAGGTGTTGCCGCCTACGTTGGCTGGCAGAGCTCCTCCATCCTCAAACCCCTGCTCCAGCAAGGCCTCAGTGATGCTGAGGAGTTTGTCATTGTGAAAGCTCTCAATGCCCTGACCTGCATGTGCCAGTTAGGGCTGCTGCAGAAACCCCATGTCTATGAATTCGCCAGTGATATTGGTAAGCTGTTTTTGAATGGGAAATTTGGGTGTGGGAATAACTACATATAATTTCATTCTGATAGAGTAAGAATACATACAAAGGAAAACACAATATTTGTCTTTTTGGGTCTGTGTTACCTCACTCATGATTATTTTTTTTTCTGCCTCCATCCATTTACCTGAAAACTTACATTTCCTTTCTTAACAGCTGACTGATATTCCACTGTGTACATATCCATGTTCATTTTCCGTGCTTCAGCTGACAGACTGGGCTGTTGTTACAACTAGAACAGCAGTGACTGTGGATGCACAGGTGTCTCTGGTAGGATGTAGAGTCCTTTGTTAGATGCCCAAGAGCAGGATGGCTGGATCTTGAGGTAGATTGATCCCTTACCTCCCGAGGAACTGCTGAACTGATGATGCCCATAGCGGCTGTACCAGTTTGCACCCCACAGCAGTGAGGGAGTGCTCCTCTTTCCCCACATCCCGCCAGCATATGCCATCATTTGTTTTACTGATCTTGGCCATTTTGACTGAGGTAAGATGAAATCTCAGTAGTTTTGATTTCCTTTTTCCTCATGGCTAAAGATGCTGAACATTTCTTTAGTGTTTCTCAGCCATTTCTCTTGTTTCATCTCTTTGAGAACTCTGTTGAGTTCTGTTCCCCATTTTTAATTGGTTCTTTGTTTTCTTGGTGTCTGGTGTTTCAGTTTCTTATGAATTCTAGATACTAACCCTCTATCAGATGAGTAACTGGTGAAGATATTTTCTACCCTTATGCCTGAGGTATATATGCGTCCTTAAAGATAAACAGGCTTTTGGTATTGTCCTGTCTTTACATTTTGTTTTCTTTGTTGTTTATTCAGCTTCTTTGTCTTTTGATTGTAAGTTTAATCCATCTTTATTTACAGTCAGTACTTAATAAGGACACATTAATGTTTTGAAACTGATTCTGATAGTTTTGGAATCCCTGTATCATTCTTACTCTCTTGTATCTTCCTTTGTGATTTGATGATTTTTTTTTTTAAAGTGCTATGCTTTGAATCTTTAAAGTTGCATAAATTTAATTTTCACTTACACAAAACCCTACACTTTAATTTCTCCTCCTATATTTTATGTTCTTGAGACAAGGACTTACGTACTTTATATGTTGTGTATCTTTAAGCAAATTATTATAACTAAAGTTCCAGGCTGGCCTTGAACTCCTGACCTTTCACCTTGGCTTCAGTTCCCCCAATGTGGGCATGCCAGGCACGAGCCACCACACTGGTTTAGTGTCATAACTCTGAGATGAGCACGGCGGTGGTGATCTTGATGGTGATTCTCATGGTTTCCTTGGAGGTGGTCTTAAGAATTGTGATTCCTGCTTAGATAATCCTCAGTTCTCATGGTTTCCTTGGAGGTGGTCTTAAGAACTGTGATTCCTGCTTAGATAATCCTCAGTTCTCTGCTTTCCTCATGCTTGTCACCAGAGAATTGGAGTATATTAGAGAGGAAAGATTGATGCTGTATTTTCTAAGAAGTTCTTTCAGCTCAGGCGTAAGGATTTGATGTACTTTGTCAGCTAATTACTGCTATAATAATGCAGTGTGTCTGTTAACCACAGAGTCTCAGTAAACACTGCGGTGTGTTTCTTGTCAGGCACCTAGGGTTGTGTGGGTGGCTCTGTTTCAGGCTGTGCATCTCCTTTGTCTTTTGAACATGATCTTTCTGTCTCATTGTGGGGCCATGGTTGTCATGGCTGAGGCTGCCCCAGCTGTTCTCACGGGGTGACAAAGCTCAGGAGAGCAAGGCTGACTGTGCAGCACGTGCCCCTTCGCTAGCATCCGTTACTGAGGGGCTGCTAGAGGTATGCTTATGTACGACAGCTGCACAGGAAACACACGCGTGTGGAAGCTTGGAATCGGTAATGGATCTTGCCCAGCACTCAACCCCCGTCATGCCATTGTGGCTCTGTGCTTTCGAAAGGTTCTCAGTGCCCTGCCAATTCCTACTGTTCTGGACCGTTGAGGCGTTGGGATTGAACTCTGCGGCCTTGTGCATGGTAGATAAGCACCCTGCACTGAGCTCCATCCTCAGCCCATTTTCCTTTACATCAAAGGGAGGAGTACCAGTCCGTCCTTGTCACAGGGATCAGGCTGTGTGTGGATTGTGAAATAACCAAAACCTTTGTGGTGAGAAGACCGTGGGAGAACTTGAAGAGATTTTTATTTTTCTTTGTGTGAGGGCATGTCTTTATGTGCGCTCGAGTGCATGCATGTGTGCATATGTGCACATGCCATTGCATGCTTGTGAGGTCAGAGGGCACCTCTGTGGAGTTGGTTCTCTCTTTTCACTTTTCAGGGGCCCCAGGGCTCTAACTCAGGTGGTCAGACGTGGCGGCAGGGGCCTTTGCCCCCTGGCTGTCTTGGCAGCCCTGAGAGAGGGACATTGAATGTGTCTTTGTCTTTCATTTTCACGTAAGCATCACTAGTACAGGGTGACACGGTTACGTCATTGCTCCCCTGGACTTCTGATAAACAGCTCTGAGTATATCTTTGTGTTCTTAGAGCTCATGCAACTATTGTGTTTAGAAGTTTGAATTTTATTCTGAATCATGTTATTGTGACTTTGATTAGTTGAAATAAATGATTTAGACTTAGTGTATAAAACTATTAAAAAGAAGGACGACATTCTGTTTCCTTGGTTAATCTTAGTTTGAACACTGAAGAATGGACATGATGTGTTCTACTTTTCTGCTTTCTCATTCATTCATGATGACATGATTACCATTATTATAATGAAAATTATGAGTTGTATGCTAGATTTGACCAAACCCTGCATTAAAAAGAATGTCAGATGGATCAGATTGTTTTCTCAATGCTGTGGCCTGGAGAAGAAATGTTACTCCCCCCCACCCCCCATGTCTCTGCTTCTCGGGTGGTAGCTGCTGTCCTGAACATAGAGTGTAAAGTGGATCACTTCCTATCTGTGTGTTGTTGGGATTTTTATGTGTCTGTCCAATAGATTTTAATTTAGTGCTACAAATGAGTATGTGCTAATACACTTTTAACTCTGAAAAACAGAAATTTTACAAAGGAGATTATTTTTATGGTATGGCTGGTAAGTATGATAGGGGAGTGTTATAACTCTGTATTATTTTCTATTTCAGGCTAATATGTGCAAGAACTTTCTAGTTACACTGAGGCTTGGTGTCGTTATCAAATGGTTATAATGTAAGGATTTGTATGACCTTAAAATTTAAAGTTTTGTGAATCTGGTTTGATCTGGTATCTCCTTTTCTTCCCCTTGTAGCTCCCTTCCTGTGTCATCCTAATCTGTGGATACGCTATGGCGCAGTGGGATTTATCACAGTGGTAGCTCATCAAATAAGTACTGCTGATGTCTACTGCAAGCTGATGCCTTATCTTGACCCATATATTACTCAACCAGTAATACAGGTACACAGGTTCCAGCTTGTGACTAGTCCTTTCCAATTATGTCTCAAGAGTCCTTTATATCAAAAGAGTCCCTAACATCAAATGTATTTAAGTTGGTCTGTAACATTTTCATAGTCCTTTTGAGCTAACAATGTTAATAAACTGACCTCCCTTGTAGGAGAGACACTAACAGGAGGCTGTAAAGTCACACACAGTATGGCACGCAGAAGCTCAGACTCCATTTTCTTTGTGATATCTTGTAGTGCATCTGCTTTTATTTTTATTTTTTAAAGTTGTATTACTTTTTTATTTTATGTGTGTGGGTGTATTACACGAATGTATGTTGTATACCACCTGTGTGCCTGGTGTCCAGGGAGGTCAGAAGAAGGTCCCATAGAACTGGAGTTACAGCTGGTTGTGAACCTCCCTGAGCTCTGGGAATGGAACCCTGGTCTTCTGGAAGACCATCCAGGGCTCTTAACCCTGAGCCGTCTCTCTGGCCCTTGCTGGTTACTCTTATTTAATTTATTATTTGTATTATCATTGATTTATATTTTTCAATTTATTATTTGTATTATCATTGATTTATATTTTTCAA